ACATGTTAAAGTAATTTGAAAGTTTGGGCGAGCAAGTTAGGATCACTTTCGACCATTTTAGGCCGCGATGAAGGCGAAGAAGCCGAAATGTGAGCTGGTAGACTGTTCAATCTTCGGCTTGAAGAACCATTCCCACATGCCAATATTGCAAGAAGGTCAAACATGGACTCGGCGAAGGAACGTCTAGAGATCCTTCCCTCCGAAATTTCTTCCAGCTCGAAAGTAGGCACGAGAAGCTGCTCAGAGGCTCAACAACTCACGTTCTCAAGTTACTGACTGATCAACTTCCCTTTACTGGAGCTATAGGCTACGTCTGCTTTTTCTTGGCAAGGAACGGCAAGCAACGGGTTATCAAAAACCCGACCTGTACAGCTGTTGTTCGTCATAGGTGCCAGGCGGCGACATACAATGATGCTAGAGAGATAGTTAAAGCGGAAATAACCCTATGGTAATTGGATATTGATTGCCAAAAGGTATTTGTTCGTGTATATGCGTGTGTAAGAAGGCGTAGGGTGAGGGGTGCGGCATGGCATGTGAGAGCAGTGGTGCTTGTGGGCGGATGGTGAGCCGCCGGAGGCCAAAAACCCTCGTGCTTGCTCATGGCCCAAATGACGTTCAGATCGCGAATTACGACAGCAAACGTCTCGCTACTCGGCGAGACCTGAGATCGGAGCTGAAGGCGCTTTAGTTGCGCAGGTAAGTGGTAGGAGTCCAACTGATACTGAACAAAACGTCTTAGGGAAAGAGAGCGGAAAGAAGAAACAGAAACACCTAATGACAAGGGTTGTTATGGTGCTTTTTCAATATTGCCATTAGTTTAAAGCTTATTTTTGAGCTTCAGCTTGCTGTGCATAGCACAAGGACACCCTTTCCCTCATAATAAACGTGAGCATTACTATTAAGACACCAGTTTTGTGGAGCTTGATCCCACCTTATCAGTTTGGTAGCCCTCAGAAAAAAAAACCCTGCCTAGCTTGCCGGCCCAATTCTGGGACATGAGCCGCAACAATGCAATTTTAGCTGCAAAATTTGGCCAAAGATTCACAGCAGCATCTGCACCGGGTCAGAGAGAAGGCGCTCAACCCATTACCAATAGCCATTTTGTAGCACAAAATGTAACCCGTTTCTTCATCTGTATGTAGGTAAGGGGTTGCTCTATGTAGTAGGTCTTTTTCCCTACCCTTAGATATCTATACAAGGCAACGGATTTCCACATAGCCACGCTTGAACTTCAATGTGGGTACACAGGTTGTGTGGAACTTCCTGTCTCGGGACTATTAGAGTTGGTTGGGCGCTTGATGGGGTAGAGATCCTCTCCTGAACTTGGAAGCGGTCAGGACTTCACACGCACAGGAGTTTTGGTCCAACAAATTGACAGCTTTACCATGAAGAAACAAAAGACCCATTAATAATACTACATAGCACAAAACGTAGCGATAACACCCCCCCCCCAAACTCTTAAAAAGTACACGACGCGAGTCGGAGTGGTAAAAGGTATGAACACGTTCTATTTCGAAGGGAGGTAACCGTTGGGAAATTCCCAGAGAGAGAAAAAGCGTACTCGTGATTTTCGGATGGAGGCTGCTGCTTGGAGTTTACATAGGTTTCAGGGGTAGAGTTGATGGAAGATGAAGGGGTCGTGTTTGGGGAGGGGGAGAAAGGTGGTTGGTAGCTTGACAATTGTTGCCGAAAATGAGCAGAAATGGGTTGAAATTTGTGAAAATTGCTGTTTCAGGAACTGTATTTATGAACATGCCAGCGACGGGTTCATCAATTTGCGATCCGTTCATGCGACG